AAACCATATGGTTCTACACCAGAAACCTGATGCTAGAGCAAGTCAATAGACGTTTCCAGTAAATGTGTTAAGCATACTCGCCTTATTAAACTGATATGCTGCACACAAACCCTCATCAGCTACTAGAATGAGCCTAGTTTCAAATAAAGATTAGTAAAATTACCCATCATCCCTTGTCAAATGTCACTTACTTTCAAGAATTGGGGTTTAAAGCTTACAGACTCACTAGTCGTTACACAACCAGTCTATGTAACAAAGTATGTAAGTGTATTTATATTTGGGGCCCTCTCAATTCCAAATCCAATTTCTCTCAAAACTGACATGCAGCAACCTACAGACCTTTAACAACTTATTTCATTATCAATAAGATAGAGGCCATTGCATGAGAACCGTAAGTCATACTCGTGAAACTCTCTTCATTGTTGCTGGTGCAAAAACCAGTTAAGAATGGCACAGCACAGAACGGCTGAAACAAGTTTGTAACTTATCATGGATTAACATCTGCAACAAAACGTATAGACCACTAAGCATGATCAAAGGCAATCAATCAATGCATTTAAATAAAAAAATAGCCTCGGCCAAACAATACAAAGAGAAAAAACATTCTTACACACTTCAGCTATATACATACATGGTAGGAAGTTAAAGACAACACTCCAACAAAAAGTACAGAAAAGGAGTACCTTGACGCTCAGATTTCACATTCTTGTTTGTTAGAAGACCAGCAACGGTGTGACCATAAGTTGTCGTCTACAGAAACCCCACCATTTGACAGCCAATTCCAAAAACATCATTTGACAGTCGTTGTTGCCTTCAGATTGACACATGTTTTGAACGAATTTTGCGTTTGCTGTAGAGATCGCACTTGTTGAACACTTTCAGCCACTTCATGTTCTCTCTGTCTTCATTTTTCATCAAATGCTTGTATTCTTCTGATTTGCAAAGAGCTGCGAACAAAAATAAGACAAGAACAAGAACCCGTGGTTTTATAATCTTGACTCATTTTTTTATGATAGATTTGAGAAAATCAGTATGTCGTTCATATACCGTAGAATGGTATTGAATGATGAACAGACCGGGTGATGGTAATGTAGTTTGACTCTCCTTCAGAATCTGTGAAACTGAGTAATAGCATCAAAAAGAGATCCTTATATGCCGGTAGATTAAAACAAGTGTTGAGATTGTAATTTACTTACAAGGTAAATGTAATCATCATGTCCCCATGAGATGAATACAATGTCGAGCCCACAACTTTTGGTGTACATCTCTTACATGGTGTTGTAACTCGGATGATCATAGTATGGAGTCTGCTTGACGTACTGCATCAAGAAAACCGTGATGGAATCAAATTTCAGATGTTATAAAACTCAAAACAAAGTTTTGTGCTAAGGATCTTATATAACTTGTGGTGAACAATAGATTAATCAAAAAGTACACCCCAGTAATAGAGATAATTCATTCGAGAAATCATCAACAGCCCACCAACACAACATCACTGAATGGTTAAACAATTTGTTAATGCAATCAAAGCGAAATCTTCAGCAGGGTAATATGTTCTGATGGCTTCAGCTGTCTGAAGCAAAAGTTCGATCTGAAGTACGTCTAGTTTGGGATCACTCTCGACAATAAACTTATTCAGAATCTCATAGCATTCCCAAATGCTCACCTCAGTTTTGGTTTCGGCCAATGTGACTGACTCCGTAGAATGCCTCGACACCTCTTCTCCTCACACTCCCAGTGTCATATAAGTCCTTTATGACAATAACCAAAATATCGATTAAAGTTTTGATCTTTCAATCGATGAGCCAAGTCCAGAAATTTCTGAAGCTAAACCCGACATTATCTGGTGTGAATTGATTCGAAAGATTTTTAATAAACAAACAAATTTGGAAATTTCAGGAGAGAATTACCTGAACGTATGACCGAAGGAGCCACCATCCAATCACTACTTTCTTCTTCCTCTTTTCATTTCCCCTGATTATTATTCTCTACAATCTCATCGCCTGCATCTCCAGAAACTCAAACTCATTCACCAAACATATTGAAATTCCAAAATTCTATCACCAAATTCGACAGAACTACAAACGGGAATTTGGAATTTACATAAGCCACAATTGATGAAGGAGATCATCATCCGAAATCTACAATCAAATCATTTCAACACAAGGCCTCGACTCCTTCAGGTAAGTCCTTCTTCAATGGGAAAAATCATTTTGTCCCCTCTTTTATTTTTATTTTTTTTTATATATAATTGAAATACGGTTTGCATAGAGAGACAAATAATGGAGTTAACCGGGTAAACCTGGTCTAAAATTGAATACGAACGGTCCCGCAGATGATTTTACTACTTAGTTAATTAAGCTCGAGGCAACTGGGGCAATAATTGTAATTACAAAAGTTATGGCTCATATGTAAACATAATTAAAATATAAGGGCCACAAACTAAAAAGTTTCCTTGTATCTTGCATCACCGAGGACATGTATGCCAGTACCCCCTCCAAGCATTTCAACAATCTTTGCCTTTCACCAGAAGGAAAGCCAATCCTATAGGTAAACGACTAGCGTCTGATTCTTTTCGCTGATGGGTTCTTCCCATGTCTGATTCTTTTCGCTGATGGGTTCTTCCCCTATCTGATTTAGCCTTCTCTGATCTGTTACGCAATTCTTCTTTCTCCCACTCGAATGGTAACAACACCCTTCTTATACAATGCACACCGTACATGACGGCTAGAGCCACACCAACAGTTCCGATGATCTTGCCGAGCCCAATATAAACCCTGCAAAATTAACACAACAGTCTTTCAACAAATATGATTCATCAGCTCCCAAGTATTCTATGACAGAAACATGATGAGTGTTTCCTACTCTGACATTGACTTCAATTCAGCAACCATATTTTCAAATGAGCCCTCTCCACTGTAGACCAGAAAAGATTGTTCCTTGGGTCTTTGAATCATGACAGTCCCAGCTTTGTCTCTAACAGCCTACAATACAGAGAGGGACGAAATCAGATGTAACTTAGCTTGCACATCCCCGAAAAAACCACTATTCTTAGAGATTCCACATTTCCTGAATAAAGAAGAAACAAAAGGAACAAGGGCTTCCCATACCTCGCCAACAAAAGTCAAGTAAGTACCAATATTAAGAGCACGCCCATGACAATTATGTTTAAGCACCTAAAAAAAACATCACCTTGTTGTTTCAATCCAAGGAAAATTGTGTTCTAGGGGTCAAACAAAGAAAAAAATGAACAAACGACGAACCTTTGTGCCATCAGGTATAACAACCGTTTTCAAGAGTTCACTTGCTGGCATCTTAAATACATACTTATTTAGAATACTATTAAATCCTAGAGCATCTTGAACTCCCACTACATTCACCTGACCCGTACAGTCTTCCTAGATGTGAGAGAGGGGAATAACCAATTAAGGAGGCAGGGATAAGTTGAGGGCAAGAAATAGCAAATGAACGCTAGAATGTATCTTACTAGATACCAAGGAGTCTCCTTTTGATGTAACAGAAACGTTAGAGACTTCTCTATCAAACCACCACCTTCCAACTCGATCTTACAATCCAGTTTAGCCTGAAGTATATGTGTTATGACGCCAACAGAAAGTTAAGCACGCATGATGCAATAACACCATCAGAAAAGTAAGCGCACATAACATGAAGCCAACTTTACAAAAGCAATCTTTACCGTTTCCTCAACAAGAACACCCAAAAGACCATTGTGTTTGCAGTCGAGGGGAGCTGCGGAACCAACTCTTCCGGATACCAGAACAAGGAGATTCGTGGTGTTTTTTGCAAGCAAATCATCTGAAAAAACAAACAAGGATCATATTAATCCAAAACCAATACAGATGAAAAATAACCAGAAGTCGAATTATTAAACAGAAACATATACCTAACGATTTCAAGCCGTCCACACGGGTAATACTGCCCAAATAGTCAACTCTCCTGAGCCATCATTGCAAAAACACATTACAAATTGATTGATAAAGCGTTGTTAACATTCAAATATCGAGAAGGACTGGGAATGAGATTAACCTTTTAATTTTACGGCCAAAGAGATAACATGATGCACCAACGAATGAAAGAAAAACAGCAGATTCAACCACCTACAAAATTAAACAAGAGTGCATCACGATCGTTCCAGAGTTGATCTTAAAATAAAAATAAAAACAAAAACTAATTGGCCCTTCAAAAACACCAATCCTTCCTCAAGATGGTATCACCATAAGAAACACCAAACCTTAGACACCCTCCTAATCGGACCTTTAAAAATCCCTCTAGAAAATTATAAGATTTACTAGTTCAGAAATCCCGATATCAAAGGTAAGCGGAACTAACTGGTTCCATCGCGAGGTCGGAGTTGTCTCCGCGTGATCTAGCTCCGCGAGTCGCACCGGAGAGAACGGCAGCGATGAACCCTAGTCTCTCAAACGACTTCGTTTGGGACAACGAAAACGACCAAGTTCACTCTGCTGACAATAAAAGGCCCACAATTTTGTTTTAGGGATATATTCGACGATTCAATCTTTATTAGATACTAGATTAGTACTCATGTATTTATCGATAAATGCTTTTTTTTTTGCAAATTTTATGTTAAATTTCAATTGAATCAATTATGAATCTATGCTAGATATTATTAAATATTTCAAATTGAAATCTTAAAAATATATACTTCTAAGTACACTTATAATAAAGTTGTTTTAGTAATAAACAACTAAAATGATCTGAGTTAGTTTTAGAATACAAATTTTATATTTACTTTATTTTATTTAGCTTTATAATTTAACTAAAGAAAATTTGAAATATATTTTGAAGAATAATTTGGCAACCAAAACATCTTGCTACTAATATCATAGTCAACTTACTTTTTTTTTTTGTGGACAAAAGTCAACTTATTTTAACTTTAAATAAACTATAATTTTGGTAAAATAGTTTTACTAACCTACCCGGATTGGTTTCACTTTCACAATTCTTTTAGATATAGAATTTAGAAAACACAAACTTTTTTTTACAAATTATACTATTTTGTTTTCTAAACTCTAGTGAATTTTCATGGATTTTTGTTGATATTTTCTTAAGACTATTTAGTTTATTTGTTTTATTTTATTTCAATGCTAATTTTTTTTTTTTTTGGTTCACTAAACTAAACAAAAATTATATATCTCACCCTCACGAGATATGGGTTTGTAATATTGTCACATATCATTATTGTAGTAAAACTGATGAATGTAGATTGTTTTTTTTTTTTTTTTTTATGTTAACGGATGAATTATGAAACTGTTTGGAGAATGTAATTGTAGTAGGATTTGACCCGCGGTACACCGCGGAGTAAATATATATACAGTAAAACCTCTATAAATTAATAATGTTGGAACCAAAAAATTTTATTAATTTAGAGAGGTATTAATTTATCGATAAATTAATAATTATTAATTTATAGAGAGATTTTAATAATTTTGTAATTTCTTAAAAAAATTTCTATCTAAAAATAATTTTTTTCTTTATAAAAAAATATTATTTACAAACTAATTACAAATAGAGAAACAATTATTAAGTTTAAAAACAACAGAAACTTTTTTCGAATAATAGAGTCATATTTCATCAAATTTTTTACATATAATATTTTAAATATATATTATAGTAATTCATATATAATATATATAAATTTATATAATGTATAGATTGATATATATATATATATATTGATAAGTTAATACAATTATTAATTTATGATATAGATGGGACCATATGTTTACATGAGATTTTTAAAAAATACATTATCTTATTAATTTATCGATTTATGTCATATTTTACACTGGTCCCAACTCGGGATCGGAAGAATTTATTAATTTAGAGAAATTATTAATTTATAGAGTATTAATTTACAGAGGTTTTACTGTATTTGTTATAAACTTATGATATTGTTGTATTAATTTTGTATGTTTTCTTGGTATAAACTTATATTTGTTTTGTTAATATTATTTGTTTTGTTTAGTGCTTAAGATTTTATAATTGTATTTTGATTGTTAAATGTAGGACTTCACCCGTGGTATATCGTCTCATATTAATATTGATCTAACCCTGTACCACCATATAATCATGTCTCGTGAAATTAAACATCATTTTGTTATTGTTTTTCTAATAAAACTTTTATATAAAACATATAAGTCGAGTCAATTTTAATTTTTTTAATTTTAAATGGTTACCATATATATTTTAAATTTTTATAGATTTCAAATATTATTAATATTATAAACGTTTATAGAACTAAAATATTAGAAATATTCTAAAAGTTTTATAAAGTTAAAATATTTATAATCTTTAAACTTCTTATAAAGTAAAATATTTATATATCACATGACATAATAACAATATTACAAAATTAACTGACTTCTTTATTCTTATCATTTTATAAATATTTATATGTCACATGACATAATAACAATATTAAAAAATTAATTGACTTCTTTTAAGTGCTAATTATTACTTAAAAAGTTTCAAATATGCAATTGTTTTATCAACGAATCATTTCACAGTGGATTGTTTATAGATGGAAATGGATTAAAGCTTGTAATGCCATATAGAACAAACATGTATGATCAACACAAAAATCTATACTAGTATAATCGCAGCACTTTTTGTGACGGGTGGGTAAAAAAGCTTTCGGGTATATCGGATATCCGACCCATTTTAAAATTTCCTTCACAAAAAATTTGTTGGGTCGGGTTATATTTAACCCAACTCATACACCGGATATTCAATATTTAATAATTTATATTTTTAGAAGATTTGATTAAGATTTATAATTATGATTCTCCTATCATCTTTGTTTGATTTGTTTTTAACTGTTTTGAATCATCATATAATACATAAAGTAAAAAAAAAAATCAATTTTTTTTTCTGCATATACTGTGATTCGAAATTTTAAAAACGGACATATATTATCCAATTGACGAAAATGTGTGTTCAACGTTCTACATCGATTAAAATATTTAGACAATGATTCAGAATCATATCATAAATAAGAACATTAATAAAATAAATGAGTTTTTTGGCGGGATGGGTTTGGCGGGACGGGTTTTTGAATCAACAATAATAAAAAGATTAAAATATCATTAATCCGCCGCTTCAATACGGATTTAATCCTTATTTTTTTTTAATACAAATCACAGGACGGGTTAAGAAATTACGGAACGGGTTATATTTCGGAAATGATTTATATGGCGGACGATTTTGAATCAATATTTATATACCGTTTTAATACGGGTTAAATCCTCAGTTTATTAATAATTATCTCGTGGACTCGTGGTATACCGTTACTTAATAACAATTGTAAACTATAATATAAATAAATATGTTATAAGGAGATACAATTTACAAAATATTTTTATACTAACTTTAAAATTAAATCATCCCGCGGTGTACCGCGGGTTAAAATCTAGTAAGAGATATACAAAAAGATGAATCATTTCACATAGGATTGTTTTTAGATTAACGAAAGTATACTATCTCACAATAACTTTGATAATGAGTTTGAAAATTCATGGAATAATAAAGATGAGATCTATATATAATAATATTTGAGAAGTGTTTTTGCTTATGTGTCGGCCTCACAGCTCTTGTTGAGCCCTTGCTTTTGTGTGATTACTTAAATGCCCTTTATTAAATTCGAATATTAATTAGTTATTTTATTAAATTAAATTATAGCATTTTTACTTTTATACGATAATGTTTATATAGCATTTTTACTTTTATACGATAATGTTTACATATTCGCAACAAAATTTACATATATCCCACTACTTTTATACGATAATGTTTACATATTCGCAACAAAATTTACATATATCCCATAATAAACTTATTAATCTGTAGCGATATGGTCATATTCCTTATTGTAGACATACGAATGATAGTTACCTTTTTATTATAAACCCTAAAATGATAAATCCCCTTAATTGTCTATCAAGCTAACACCGAATATGTATTAAATACTTTTTGTTACCATTTACACGCGGTTGGTGATATATATGCATGTATTATCGCTGTATAGAGATAACGTAGAATATCTCTCGACCAATGGCGTGATGGTTGTTTAGTATCCACGTATCAAAAAATATTAAAAATATATATTTTATTATGATAAATGTAATATACTCTAATTTATATACTTTTCGAAAAATAAGAGATACAATATACTGCCCAGAAAAAAGGCAAATATATTGAATAGTCTAAAATATCCTGTATTGTTTAACATTCTTGTATATATATCAAGGCACGTTCGGTGCTGTCTCATAAGTTAACCTAATTCGCAAGATTTTCTCTACTCTTCCTTTTTTATCAATCTATATGGCGCACTTACTATCGAATGCAGTCCGTAATTCTTTCAACACGAAGGTCGCGTACACCGACGTTTCTTCGTTGAATCCTTTTGTCCATGAATGGAGGCTCCGAGTAAAGATACTAAGGAAGTTCGTGCGATGTTTTGGTAATCATAACACCGTGGATCTAATATTAGTTGATGAAAAGGTAATGTCTGATTACATATCTAAATAGACCGTTCGACGTGTACAGAAATAAACGATTTAGTTAGCTTATATGTATAAATTTATATTATTTTGATTATAGGGCCAGAAGATACATGCTGTTATTGACGGTGATTATATCGATCGGGTGTGTCGAAGGATTACCGTAGGAGATTGGATCAGTCTTCGAGGTTTTAAGCTGACTTTGGCTTTGTATCCTTTTAGACCTGTTCCACATCGATTCATGCTTAGGTGGCAAGATACGACTGTTATGAAGAAAATATCACCTGTTAGCTCCAATAATTTTTTTTCGTTTGCATCTTTTGACGATGTGAATAGTGGTATTTTAGATCCAGCCGTCTGCGTTGGTAAGTTTGTAGATCATGTTTATCTAATATCTCGATAAAATAGTTATTAATGACCTATCTATGTATTTGTTAAGATCTGATTGGCGAAATCATTAAAGTTGGAAACCCTAAGGAAGATGGTGGTCCTAATAATGACTGGAACGAGATATATTTCCAGCTTCAAGATAAAACGTATGTTGTGTCCTATTCTATATATACGTATACATTCGTTATATACTAAAACTATATATTATATTTGACTCACATTGAGTATTTGACATAATAATGCAGGGATAATATTCTGCAATGTAGGTTACCAAAAGACTATGCCAACGATTTCTTTAACAAATGGAGGCATTGCACCGATGATATTTTGATATGCATCATGCGTTTTGCTAAACTTGAAGTTAATTCTGGTATGTATATATGTTGATTTTCGTTGGTTACTTATGTTTTTTGCATGCTTGTCTTTTAATTGTATTTGGTTTATTTTTAACGATATAGGTTCGTGGTTGGCGACTTCTGCGTATACATGCACGGAGATTATGATAAATTTTCCTTGCCAAGAGGTTACTGATATGAAGCATGCAGTATTGACAAGGGAATGCATGCAGCGTTGATTACCTCTAACTAATTGTGTTATATTTGGTTTTTTTTTTTTTTTTTTATGTGTTTTTATTAGGTCACTTGAGGTATTCGATTTATTATATTTGGAACATTTGTTATAATTATGCCTCCTTTTACGTCCCATGTGGTTTAAATTAAGAGTATGATAATTTCATATTAGCATATGCGTTGGTCTTATGATATTTCTATATTAATTATAGTTGAACATGTTAGTTGATATTAACTACGTATAGTCGATTGCTTCAATTGTTGATCCGTAAAAAACAACAAAATAAAAATTAATAGAAAATAAATGCCCAAGCTTATAAGATTGTCTTTCGTCCTAACATGTGTTAGGTTAGACCTATCATCATATCAAAGTAACGTCAAAAAGGCCGTTATTGTTTTATTATTATGATATAATACATGTCATATTCCGGTATTTATTATTATAAGATAGTACCCGCAATATTCCGTACACCGGCTTTGTAACTTTATAGGTTAATACAGTATTAGTTTATTGTTAAACTTAGTGCTTAACTTCAATTGCACGTAATACTAAGATTATTGTAAAATACTCGATAACGTATATAAATTTCAGTGTTTTTGGAAAATATATCTTGAATTATTTATAATACAATCCCCGCAATATTCCGGTATTTATTATTAAAAGGGACACGCAATATACCCGCTAGATCCCGTATACCGACTTGGTAAAATTATAGATTAACTACAATATTATTTTATTGATTCTTTTCATGCTTAACTTGATTTGTACGTAATATTAAAATTATTGTTAAATAATCGATGATTTTTTGATAAGTTTAAATAATCGATGATGGATATAAATCTAACGATTTTGTAATATATCTTAAATTATTTATAAGAATTTGTTAATATTCCGATATAGTCGAATCTTTTAGGACAATATCTCACGATTTTGTAATATATCTTAAATTATTTATAAGAATTTGTTAATATTCCGATATAGTCAAATCTTTTAGGACAATATCCATAAATATAACACATAACTTATAGTAAATCTCCTAAAATTATTTGGAAATGTTCCGAGCCCAGCACCTCTATATATAAGATACGATTTTGTCACATCAACCGTAAACAGTTGTGTTGCACCTTTACGATAATACTAATTAAACCGCAGCGTCGTAGTTTTGTTTACCTAACGTCATGTTTGAACAAAACGTCAGTACTTTCGTTTTCCTCGACGAGATCGATCCCGCAGCTCAGAGATACAAAATCAAAGTTCAAATCGTTAAGTTATGGAGGGGGTTTCAAAAGGAAACCGGTAGTGCCATCGAGATGGTCTTGATTGATGAGAAGGTACTCACCGTCATGTTGATATAGTTTATTACTTTGTTATACGTTTGTTTTTATTATAACAATTTATATCATTGAATTTTAAATTTATTTGTTTGTAGGGTACTAGGATGCATGCAACGGTTGAAGATAAGCTGATGAACAAATTCAAATCTGATCTAAAGGAAGATCAATCGATCTTGGTGGACACTTTTCAGTTGGTCAATAATGGTTTTGAATATAAAACGAGTCCTCACTCATTCAAAATAAGTTTCTTTCGTACAACCAGCGTAACGATCTGCGACGATTTCCCAAACGACGTTCCTGAAAAATATTTTGTTGATTTTCTGAAAATATTGGCCGGTGTGTTAGATTCTAAAACCTTGGTTGGTGAGTTCCCTATACTCTATGAAAGTATCAAAAATATTATTACTTAGTATATTTAACGTTTACCGGGTAAGTTAACGTATGTTCTCCCTTTTGTTTTGAAGATGTGATTGGTCATATAGTCAACATTGGTCCACTTGAAGATATTATGATCAGAGGAAGGAGTACTACTAAACTCGATGTTGAGCTCCGTGATACCAAGTACGGTGTACTTTTTTAAATATTCATGATACATCTTGGTGTTTAATTTTGTGTTATTAGTATGTGAAACCTATTGATATAATCTGCTGTGTTATTCAGCGATGCGAGATTATTATGTACTTTCTGGGGGAAATATGCGGATCAGGTTAGCACATATGCTGCAGAGCATAGCGCGGACATGATAGTGTGTGTCGTAAGGTTTGCACAGATCAAGGAGTTTCGAGGTTTATTCCACTTTTTATATTATGAAATCTCTATATAAATCACATGCATATCTTTGATCGTTTTGTGACCTAGATACACAAGTTTAAAATTTTAATTGTTGATAATATGTTCAGTAAAACCAAAATTGGTTTGCTAATGGCTCGAGGTCGTGTTTGTATTGGACAAATCGATCACCTCCATTATGATGATTGATGATAGCCTAGACATCTTTTGTTTGTCTTTTTTTGCATGGTCTGCATGGACTGATATAACGTGATACCGTTCAGTTTGATATTTATATGTTTATTTGTTCTAGATCCTTATGTGATAACTATGCTGTATTTTTTATTGCTTGGCAGGAAACCGGAGTATTTCTAATTCGTATAATTCCACCAGGATTCTTCTTGATCCACAGACCAAAGTCGCTCATGAATTCCGATCCAAGTATTAATTTATTTTTATGTCATTATTATATTTATATACTAATTTGTACCAATAATATTGGTTTGTTTATTATAGATTATATTTATTATATATAGATCAAACTTCATAGATTTTAATTCTGATATACTACTTGTCACAATCAATAATTGTCCATAACTTATAACCTTACATGATTAAATCTGGTCTTAATTAACATACAACCCCGCGCAGGGCGCGGGGACCTCCCCTAGTACTTAGTAAAGGCGAGATAAACTCAGATTTGGATTCTTTAACAACCTTGCATTTGCATTGACTTACCTACATTGAGTCTATTAGAAGACAAATTGGGCAGTCATGGTATTGTTAAAGGTTTGTTTGCTAGTGAAAAGATATAACTTCATATGATTAGGTGTGTTTTCTTTCTTGCTGAAAGGTTATTTATATAGTTCCTTGGTCATGATAGAATTAGGTATGATCATATATTCTTACGATTTTATTGGGCAAGCAAAAATCTTTGAAAATATGACAATTATGTATTAACGCATGATTTAGTAGTTAGTTATGGAATATCCCATTTAATTCTCGTCAATCAGTATTAATTAGTTTTTATTTCGTTTATTATTATTATTTTGAATTCGATTTCCTTGACTATACTAAAATGGGATATTACCAAAATTGTTTATGTTAGCATTAATTATTCGTTAGCGTAATCAAGGAAAATCTAAACTAATTTCATTTAATTGTTTTGAAGGGTATTAAATCATTAGAGTTGTTTTGGAAAATTGGGTGAGAAGATATTTGTGAATATCCAATATATTGAAATAGAATTAAAATCTCAAAAAAGGAAGGATCCGACTGAAATAATATTTGGATCAAAATCACCAAAAAAGGAAGGATCCGATTCAATTATTCCGGGTCAAAAATTAAAAAAACCCGAACCGATTGGAATGAGCAAATTTGTACTTCAAAAATGTTAAGTAGATAATAGCCCATTAGCTTTCTTCATAGAAGATGCAATTGTTGTTGTTTTTTTTGTTGGTCTTTTTTAATTTTTAAAGATAAAATTTAAGAATTTCATGGATATTGAAAGTTGTGTCTTATGAGTAAAATTAAGAGAACCCATATCCCAATAACAAGATATTCTAATACTAGAATTGTAAAATCAAAGATAACTAGAATAACAAGAGATTGTGGATAGAGTCAATGATAACTAAACAGTTGATTTTACTAAAATGTAAGAATCTGTTAACCTATAACAGTTGAATCTGAAAATTAAAAATTCATCAACATAATAACTAAATAACATATAACAACATCCTCTTAGAAAACTCGTAAGTTTGATCTTTGCAATTAATAAAAAAAAAGTAAGACAAATGAAAGTAAAACGGTAACGTTTCGGTCTAGTAAGGAAAATTAGAATCCGGTTAGCCTGTCTGGCCCAACCGAATAGGCTTTTTTCTCCCAATCGATCTATATTTATGTTAAGCCACGGTAGTTGTATTTTCCTCGGACAGTTTGTACTTTCATCTTACTTTTGTCAGGTAATAAGATCTATCAGCGGAGAAAATGTTTGAATTTGTTTTTCTGTGTTTGGGCAGTGCTGCTGCCGTGATATACCTCGGCGGCTACGAGATTAAACGGTTCGTCGCCTCCGACTTATCAGATCTTTTTCTGATTATATAAGATTTTTGGAATCGATTCTTCTTCTCTTAACGGTGCAGGAAGGCTGAGTATCTCAAGAGTGCCACCCGCGTGAAAGATTTGAGAGGGCTGAGTATGTTTTCCGTTCAATTATCTAAAGTCTGATTACTTTTTTACTTTTTTTCTGAGTTTGTTTTGGATTCGAACCGATGATCCAATATTTTTTTTGATTTCTGGAATCAATTTTTTTGGTTAGGAAGCCATGTATGCTTAACAATCTATTTATGTTTAGGTGAATTGCTTGAAAACAAGACTAAACCGCTGGTTGTTGCGATATCCGGAAGAGTTGGCTCTAGTAGGCCTTTAAAATGCGAACATAGTGGCATTTGGGGTGTTTTTATGGAGGAAAAGGTAAGATCGTTTTTGTGAATTTGGGCATCATGTGAGCTTAATCTCTGTTGGAATCATAACAATTTTTTTAGGCCAAACTTGTTTTTGGGACGAGGTCTTTACATGGTGGTTTGATGCGCCATTCTGCAGAGTTTCTATTAAAACATAAGGAGGTTCCTTGGTTCCTGGTACCATATTTCCATCTGCTAGCTCTCGCTCACAGACTTTAGCCTGCCTTCTTAACTGGTTATTTCTCTCTCCCATATTATAGGAAGACAGTACTGGCCGGATAAATGTAGTTGGAGCCAGATTTGCCGAGGGTTTTTATGATAATCTAAAAGAGTTTGTGTTTGTCGAGCCCGCGAGTGAACTCATCAAAAAGTTTGTTAAACCCGAAGGCTTCGTCAAGGTTCTTCATTCCTTCCTTATCTTTGCTTTCTATAGTTTTCTCAGGTTGAAGCAACGGGGCTATGTTTTTTCTGTAGATTCTTGAACACAATTGCTTTGAGCGTGTTCATGAGCTTGGTAAGCCATTGACTATTGTTGGTGAGGTAAATCAAAATCCATATTCCTTTTTTGGGTTCTTCTTTATTATTTCGTCATGATTCACTTGTAAGTTACTGGATTAAGATTTCAGTTTTGCGGAGGATAGCTTTTCAATGTTTCTCTCTGTATTTTATAGGCTGTCAAATACAGCAATGGAGCTCTCGTGATCAAAAGACCCACAGATGGATCTTTTATGTTCTTTGATGGATATAGTTCTGTTGATAAAATGATTTCCCTTTTGGAATCACAATCTCAGTACGTAAAAAAACTCTTTTCACTTGCTATTATGTTACTTATGAGTTTAAGACTATATGAATTAAAATTGGTAACATGTTTGCTATTGTTTTGCAGGGCTCTAGTATATTTCTCCATAGCCTTAACAGCTGTTGGGACACTTGTATATGCCTCGTACGTGATGCCTTTAATAAAAAAGTCTTGGTTCCTAGATAAATCAGACACTACAGCCGGCCAGAGAGCAGAAACGGAGACCAAGCACAACTCGATGGGCAAGGCTCAGAGCAATTATGCTTTTGGGCTCTGTTTTACCTGTATGATCTTAATTTTGTTATTGGACACAAAATAAAGCTGCTTTACCTTCCAGTGTTATGGCGGAAATGTTTCTGTATCAAATGTATTTTTATATAATCTAATAATGTCTACTTTATTTGCTATCAAATTCAGTTTTAGGCTTTTAACAAGAAAATTGTTCTTGTTTGTTGTGAGCATCTCTGTTTATAAGATTACATTCGGGTTTTAACCAATTGTCTTTTGATTTTTTGTGAAGCTGCTATAGTTGTTTGTCACCTTTGTGCTAGCTACATTTTCAGATGCAGCAAATTTCAATTACAAGCAAACAGGCTTTATGATGATAGTCAAATCAACGTTTTCTGCTTTGAACAACTTGGGATTAAGACAAAGAACAGACATCTCGAGTATTAAAGTTATCTTCTCCAGTGAATCTATATGTCTCCAGATTCAGAAAGAGCGTGTACCCGCAGCTTCTCCGTATCATCTCTGAAATTTATGAAGCATATAAGAAAGAAACATATGCAGAGGTAGCTTTCGAGTGTTGAGGGCCTCGGTCCCCTTATCCCCAACAAACTCAACTAACATTCCAAAATCAGTCCAATGATCCAACTCTGCTACTATCCCCGATCTCGCAGAGGCATGTCTGGCCGAGAAACCTCTTTGAAATTAGAAAGCCTATGCAGGTTCCAGGGCAGTTCCTGTGTAGACTCGGTGCACCAGAATCCCTTTTGTTTCAATGTAGAGAGTAACTGTAGCTCCTAATATTTGATGCTACGATTAATTAGGTGTCTTTTGAGCTGAAGTCAGGGAGCTGTTGGAGGAAAGGAAGACAAGAGAGTGGATGAGAAACTTTAAAAGGATGAATATATGATCTTATTGTTTCACAAACCCTTAGGTTTAGTATTTATACAACCTAGACTTTCCTGATTCTAAGGAGATATGAACTTATCTAGAATGGAAAATATACAATTCAGAAGATATCGAATATACATCTAATATTCGTCTAAGACCCCCCTTCACGTTGGAGCGTGTAAGTTTTGAACGCCCAACTTGAGTAGAAATGCATCGAACTCTGCTTTGCCCAATGCTTTAGTAAGTATATCAGCTAGTTGAATTGTCGTGGAGACGTGAGACGCGTTAATGTTACCCTTAACAATCTCGTCACGAACAAGATGACAATCTTTTTCGATATGCTTGGTTCTTTCATGGAAGACTGGATTTGAACTTATGTGTAATGCCGCTTGATTGTCGCAGAACACTGTCATTGGTTTGTCATGAACAATGCCGAAATCCGAGAGAAGTGCTTTAAGCCATTTGAGTTCCCTTGCGAGTTCTGACATAGAACGATATTCTGCCTCGGCGGAGGAGTTTGAAACAACGTCCTGTTTCTGGGTCTTCCACGAGATGAGAGAGTCGCCGAATTGAACAATCCGGCCTGAAAGAGATCGTCGCGTTAATGGACAAGCTGCATGATCACTGTCGCACCAACCAGTGAAATGCATAGGAGAGTCAGCTTTTAAAAGGATTCCTTGACCAAGAGTCCCTTTCAAATAACGAACCACTTTGAGGGCTGCGAGCCAATGGTCTGCACGCGGTTCCCGCATGAACTGAGAGAGAATGTGTATGGAGTAGGTGAGATCAGGCCGAGTATTGCCAAGATACACAAGACGACCTATTAAGCGACGATAGGTTTCTGGATCTTCAAGAAAAGGACCATTAGCACGAGCCAAGCTGTGTTTCTGGTCAATTGGTGAACCAGCCGGTTTGCATCCAAGGAGACCAGCTTCTGTGACAATTTCGGTTGCATATTTTCGTTGGCAGAGATAAAAACCAAGCGGACTGCGAGCCACTTCAATTCCGAGAAAATACTTAAGAAAACCGAGGTCCTTCATGTGAAAGCAAGTACTAAGATAATCTTTAAAGGATTGGATGGCCGTGGGAGAGTTGCCGGAAATAATGAGATCATCGACATAAACCAAAATTCGAAGATTGATGCCGTTTTTCATGTAAATGAAGAGAGAATAGTCTGACCGAGTTTGTTTAAATCCATACTTTTCAAGCGCATCGGCCAGTTTAGCGAACCAACACCGAGGTGCTTGTTTGAGACCATATAAAGATTTCTTCAATTTACAAACTCGTGTATCTCCTGGAGTAGAGAATCCCGGTGGTAGTTTCATGTAAACTTCTTCATGAAGATCACCGTGAAGAAAAGCGTTGTGAACATCCATTTGATGCACTTCGTAATTCTGTTTGGCAGCAATATCAAGAAATAACCGGACAGTGGACATCTTGGCTACCGGAGCAAACGTTTCTTTATAATCCAAACCCTCCTTTTGATGATTACCTAGCACGACGAGACGAGCTTTATAGCGTTCGATAGTCCCATCAAAGTTAAGCTTGATACGGTAGACCCATTTGCAACCTAATGCTTTCTTATTAGGAGGAAGATCAACTAAGTCCCATGTCTTGTTAAGTTCAAGTGCAGTAACTTCAGAACCCATAGCTTTCTTCCATACAAAATGTTTCATAGCTTCCATAAAACTTGTTGGCTCAATATTAGTAGTTAACGTGACTAAATAGCCACGGTGAGTAGAGGAAAATCTGTCACATGAAACATAATTAGAGATGGGATAAGGTGTACCTGAGGACGACTGATCAGAGGACGTTTTAGTAGCGGGGAGAGGGGGCGTGGAGAGAGATGATGTTTGAACAACGTAGTCACGAAGCTTAACAGAAGGAAACTTTTGACGTTTTCCCTTGCCAATTGAATCATGTGGAATATTAAGGTCAGCAGTGGATGTGTCATTAGTATCAACCACGGCCCGTGTTGGTTGTGTAATCGAAGAAGATGATGGAGAAACAGAGTCCTCAACGGTTTCTTCGTGTGCTGTTTCGCGAGCTAGAGCCGGTGCAACCACAGCGGGAGTCTGTGACTCGTCTGGTGTTGGAGTTGGTTCTGTCATAGACACCGGTTGTAACATTTCTGGTGGTGTATTAGGGACTGGTACAGAAGGTGAAACGATGTCTATATCATCAGTGGAGCTCGTGGTTGCGGTGGAGATAGGAGATTCAATGCAAGAGGGAAGATTATCTTTGATGGTAAAAGGAAACGTTTCTTCACAGAACACAACATCACGTGATATGAATGTGACTTCTTCATCAAGGTCGTATAGTTTCCATCCTTTCTTTCCAGAAGGATATCCAAGAAAAATGCATCTCCTACTCCGAGAAGCGAATTTATCACCTTTGTGATTCGTGTTATGAGCATAAGCTAAGCATCCAAAAATTCGAAGATGATTGAGGGATGGGGAACGACCATATAGTCGCTCATATGGTGTGTGACCCTTCAAGATCTGTGAAGGAGTACGGTTAAGGAGATAGACGGCTGTGAGAACGCATTCAGCCCAATATTCAATCGGAAGAGCAGCTTGAAAACGGAGAGCACGAGCAATATTGAGGATATGGCGATGTTTACGTTCCACCCGTCCATTTTGTTGTGGTGTGTAAACGCAAGATGTCTCATGAATAATTCCCTTGGTGCGAAAAAAATTCGATAAGCACATGAACTCCGTTCCGTTATCGCTGCGAATTGTTTTGATTTTCTTGGAGAATTGTCTTTCAACAAGAGCCACAAAATCTGTAAGATGTCGTGCAACGTTGGCTTTGTCAGGAAGAAGATAGACCCAAACCGCTCGAGAGTAGTCATCAACGATAGTTAGAAAATAGCGTGAGCCACATAAAGCGGTAGTGCGGTACGGACCCCATAGATCACAGTGTATCAAATCGAAAATGGATTTTGCATTATTCAAACTGATAGGAAAACTTTGACGTGTTTGTTTAGCTCTAAGGCAAACATCACAATTCTGAAACAAAAGCTCACTACTACTACTAACACCATGAATTCCAGGAACCATGCCAACACCACGAGAAGATGGATGACCCAATCGTCGATGCCACAAAACAGATTCATCACGAACACTTGTTTGCAAAGATGTCACGGTTGCGATCTCTTGAAATTGATACAGCCCCTCTCCCACTCGCTCACTAACTCCAATCAGTGTCCTCGAAGTGCGGTCCTGCAAAATCAAGAGCTTATCAATGATTTGCCCAACCAAAAAATTTTCAGTGACCAGCTGTCCCACAGAAATAAGATTAGTATCAAATCCATCAACGAGGTAAACATTGTGTAAAGTAAGTCTCTGTGAGAGACGAATGTTGCCTTGTTTGGAGGCAAGAGAGTCGCGTCCGTTTGGTAACTTGACCCAAACCGGAATAATGTTACGAACTTCTTCAAGAATGTCACTCCGACCAGTCATGTGGTGGGTGGCACCAGTATCTAGAATCCAAGATATCGAATTGTTCTTACCACTTAACTGATCCGATTTGGACTTTTCATTGACGACTCGTTTAATGATACTCCATTGATCATCGGTAATGCCACTTAGACCTTGACGATCTTTGTCGGAGATAGGTGATATGTCTGGGAGACAAACTGAGTTAGCACCAATGACTTGTGTGCTATTAACTTGAGGAGATGAGCCATGACCACGGCCGAAAGAAGAATTTCGATTGTCACTGCGAGAGTTCTTGCGTTCTTCCCACCAATCGGGATATCCTACTATCTTGAAACAGCCGCTGACTTCATGACCCATCTTACCACAGCCAGTACATTTACGTGAGGGATCACGATTCGGAGGACGTGATGTTCCTCCAATGGATTGACGGGACACGTCTTGTGTCCGAATAGAATCGGGCCGAGACATAGAGTTTGATGATGGTATGCGAGAAGCAAAGCTCATCACCGTAGTTTCTTGAGATATACTTGAACGAATTGTTTCGTTCTGAACAACAGTTTGATAAACACTATCAAGATCTGGAAGAGGTGAGATGGCGCAAATTTGGGATCGGATAACACCATGTGTAGCGTCATCGAGGCCAGAGAGGAAATCGTGAATTCGCAGTGTCTCACGTTCCTTGTCATGAGCAGTATTTAAATCACATTCACACTTACCACAGTTGCAGCGTTTTGAGTTCATACACTCAGAGATAGCATCCCAAATTTTGGTTAGTCTTCCAAAATAATCATCGATGCTGGATCCGTTCTGTTTGCAAGTTGCCAATGAATTGCGTAATTGTTGTAGTCTTGCTCCACTCTTGATTGA